TGAATCCTGTCAAACGAGGAAGATGATGCTGAGAGGGCTAACCTTAGCCGGATGCAAGGCCCGATGCAAACAAATACCATGAAGGTGGTGTTGGTGGGCAAGCACATCTCCCAAAAAAATTCGATGGTTGGCAAACCGGAACCCGAGAAGAAGATGCTGGTCGGCAAAGGCTCAAAGCAGATGTTGGTTTGCAAACCCCGCGGTTGGCAAAACCCCTCCGGGTCGCGAAGCTCGGTTTCGCAAATATCCTTGTCCCAAACCTGACTCAACCACCTGTAAGCCTTTTCTGGTGAGTCCGAGGCAGCCACCACAGACTCACGCACTCGAATTCTCCGATTCCGGACTGCTGTGGCCGGGAACACAACCTTTTGAGCCTCCTTGACTTCAGGCTTGTTTCTAAAAGAACCCTTTTCTTCATCATCATCCTTGTCTTCTTTCTTTGACTTCAGAACCTTCTTCTGCTTGCTCAGTTGCAAGTTACAGCAGTTGCTTCAAGCTGATGATGTGCAACCAGCATGCAAGTTCTGAGCAGCTTCTTCTTCTTCAATGCTTGAAATACGGTTCTGTAACTGCACATGCACCAACCTCAGCTGTGCCACGTGACTGCGGACATGAAGTTCCAAAACGCTCATCTGCTCCCTATTTCGCTCCGGATTCTTTGGGCGACTTCGGAATGCCTAGCACTGGCAGTCTGAACGAATAGACCAGGATCAATACTGACGTTCAAGTTTTGCTGATGATTGTACACCTGATTCACCAACGGAGGTGGATTGTGCGATGGTACCATTGTGGGTGATGGACCCACTACCGTGGGCGATGGCTGATAACACAGCGGCATACGAGATGGTAGGATAGTTGTTTGAGGATTTCCAAACGAACTCGTGTGACGGAGCACAGTGAAAGCAACCTGGCCCTCCCAGGCGGTGACGAGACGCATCTCTGCGCCCGGAACCGATCTGGAACCGGCGGACTCCGTCTCGGCATCACCTGACATAGACCCTTGGGAATCGGTGCACCTGCAGGATTTGGGGAGCTATTAATTGTCGCGAGCCTTGTTTCGGTTGCGGTTTGGGACCTGCTTACCTTACCATAGGATTTTGCAGGTGAAAAATCGACTAAAGCCGAAAATGCATGTGAAAATTTTCCAAAATGTTTATCGAAAAACTAAAATGCGATAATTCGGGTGCCCCCCGGCGGGGTGCTATAGACTTCCCCGCCTGCCCCGGCCCACCAGACAATGCACAACCAGCAGCAAAGCACAATACATGGCAGCTCCAACCGTCCAGTGACAAAACATTACATCATGCCCATCATGGAATTAGAATTACTGGGGCAGGGAGTGTACGAAGGCCAGCTCGCCTGCTACATTGCGCTGAGTTTTGAATGCAGCACCTTGCCAATTCTAGCTCCGCACATTTCCCTGGGCAAGTTTCTTGTCCTGCTCTTGCCCGGAGCCCCCCCCCCATGAACGCAACACACAAGCCGAACAATGCACAACAGCTACAACTGCAGTTACGACGTACAACCGCCAGTGTGCAACATGTGACAGCCAGCCGATGGCGATGTGACCTGGGCACACAGGCAGTCGCAGGCAGCACTCAGAACAGGAGCCGAACACGAATTTCCAACTGTGCAACTGTGGTGCTGCATTGACAGTCAGACGGTCAGACGTCATATCTTTTTCCCAAGCCCTAGCGTATCGAGTCGATCACCGCCGTCGTTTATGCGGGCGCTCTTCGGCATCCGAACCACTCTCATCAGAGGCGGCGTCTGAGTCATCCTCGTACTCCCGGTCAGTAGCCACATTTTGCAATAACCTTGGAGTCTTGAATCAACACGGTCAATGCTTAATGTGAGTTCAACATATACTGTATGAGTATGCATGGCACCATGCACAATTGTCAACATCGACAACTGTCCAGTCCAAGCATCATTCTTCCAGGAGGCTTTGCTGTATTGTCAATGCCAATGCCATCGCCACCATCACTGCCGCCACTGCAACTCCCCATTTTGTGCAATGCCCGGCCCAAGCACTCGAGGATGTCGTCGGCCGTAGTGATAGTGGCAACACCGGCTTGACAAAGGTCACGAATGCAGCGGCTCAAAGCAGCATCGCTCCATGTCAGCACGGACAAAAGCTGACAGACCTGCGCGGCACAGGGCATTATATTCGTTAGTCCACAAAGCCTAAAGCCGAAGACTCAATGTAAACTACTGAAGTCTGAAGTGAGCACTCAGGCACGCAAAACTCGTTGGCTAGTGAGTCAGATGCGGATGCGCGGCTTTTCTCCTCTGCGACTCCACTCACGAGTCACGAGGCGGTGTCTCCCGCCTCCGTTTCCTGCGCTTCCTCTCTTCGCGCAGTCTGTAACGAAGCACATTGCGATGCCTTCGCCGCGCAAGATCTTCGAGCTGACGCCATACACCTTGGACGTAGTCGATCCAACCATCATCCATGATGCAATACGGATCCATGCTGCTCCCTGCACGAGCATTTGGCCTCAAGCTTTCTCGGCAGACCTTTCTCATATCCGGAATGACAAACGTGAGGGACGACGAAGACGTTGTATCCCGTGTGCTCTGCATCCGTTCCAGCAGCACCCTTGCAATCTGGCGTGCCAAGCTTCCTTGGCCACATGCCCAAAGTTCATCCAGCATTCCTTGGACACGTTGTGACTGCTCATACGCATCCTCCATCCACTCATCAGTGTTGTTCGACGGATTTATGTCGCCCATCGCTTCGGCATCGTCTTCCGTCTGAAAAACGTACATGTCACTCCAGTGTGAAGAAGATGAGGCCGAAGATGTGGATGCGCAAGCTGCAGTGGACGAAGCTGATATGTCGCCCATCGCTTCGGCATCATCATCCGGTACATTCACCGGTGCATGTGTGGTGTCCACGCCCGTCAGTGCAGTGGAGGAAGCTGATATGTCGCCCATCGCTTCGGCATCATCATCCGGTACATTCACCAGTGCAGTGGAGGAAGCTGATATGTCGCCCATCGCCTCGGCATCATCTTCCGGTGCATTCACCAGTGCAGTGGAGGAAGCCGATATGTCGCCCATCGCCTCGGCATCATCTTCCGGTGCATTCACCAGTGCAGTGGACGAAGCCGATATGTCGCCCATCGCCTCGGCATCATCTTCCGGTACATTCACCAGTGCAGTGGACGAAGCCGATATGTCGCCTTCGGCATCATCATCCGGTACATTCACCAGTGCAGTGGAGGAAGCTGATATGTCGCCCATCGCCTCGGCATCATCTTCCGGTGCATTCACCAGTGCAGTGGAGGAAGCCGATATGTCGCCCATCGCCTCGGCATCATCTTCCGGTGCATTCACCAGTGCAGTGGACGAAGCCGATATGTCGCCCATCGCCTCGGCATCATCTTCCGATACATTCACCAGTGCAGTGGACGAAGCCGATATGTCGCCCATCGCCTCGGCATCATCATCCGGTACATTTACCAGTGCAGTGGACGAAGCTGATGCAGCATTGGACCGCGTGCGCTCTGGCCGCAGAGGTCGCAAAGGGCCTCCTGAAACGAAGTAGATGGGGAGGACGTTGAGAACCAGGTAAACACAGGCAAAGAATGGCAGCATGGCTTCAACACAAGGGTTTTCGCTGTCACTGCCAAACACCAAGAAGCCTGGGCCAAAAGCCGGAAAGGGTCTGCAGGAAAAGAACGGCACTTATTAATCATTCAATTCATTCTGCATCAACACTCTTCGCAGTACCATCATGCTCGCTGACTCACCACAGCGTGTCACCAGCCTTCTCGGCCGAGAGATCGCGTCGCAGCAGCTGTCCCGCACGGAACCGGACATTCCCGCACGTCAAGGGTGCCATCACGCCACACTTCTGGTTCTTCTTGGACGATTCATGCTAGTTGCTAAATGCTTATGATGCTGCTGCACTGTAACTACTGCAACACTGCGTGAAGTGAAGGAGTCCTCTGAAGGAGTATGCTACCATGTGATGCCGACAAAGCGCCAAGCTTTGAGCTAGTGACAGTGCATGTCAAGTTCATGCCCTGCTTTGATGTCATGCGGCGGTTTCAGGATGCATTGAAAGTGCGTGGGTGGTGGGTGGTTGTGGTCCAACCGCAACAACCTACACGAAGCCACCGCACTGTGCAACCAGAAACGCTGTTGCTCGCGTTCCAACTCCAATCTGCTGCATGAAGCTACCGAGCAACTCACCAACAAACTCATCTAATCAATTCGTCAGACATCAACTTGCATGAAGCCACCACGCAACCAGACACCAGACATGTGACTCCTGGTGCAGTAACTAATAGTACCATAGTTACCATAGTACCACCATACTCGCTGACTCGCTGACTCACCAGATATATTCTGTCACCAGCCTTCTCGGCCGAGAGATCTGGATGTCGCAGCAGCTGGCCCGCGCGGAACCGGACATTCCCGCTCGTCAAGTGCGCCATGACCCTGATGGCTCGATCACTCGTGTGAACACACAGACACAGACAGTTCTGCAATTGACAATACTCCTGAAGAAGATCTCGATCGCAAGCGGTGATACAAATGGATCCTACTACTACCAGTCAGATGCTGTGCACATCATTCAATTCAGCAGGCGGTGTGATGAACTTGATGAACATGCAAAGACTGTATATCCGATGACCATTGTTAGTTCGTACTAGAAGACTCGTGACGAAGCAGCAGCTGAGCCCATCACGAACTGATGAGTCATCGGACCTCGCAGAGTCGCACAGTCGCAAATCCTTGTATTAATGAACCCTGCAGTGACTTCAGTGAATACAACTCATACAAAGTGCACATGTGCAGTCCGCTGAGACGTCATGTTTCGTCTGCTCGGCCACACAAAACGGTGGAACTCGCTACCCCCATCAAGAGTTCTAGTTGCACTACGGCACTATGGACTAGCCTAAACCTATCAGATGGAACGAACATAAAATTCAGTGAGCTGTACATGCTTCCGCCCCGCGTGATGCTTCTTGCATCGCTGGAGAAACTCAATGTATAGGACATTCAGATCCAGCCCGCGCCACCGTCGCAGTTCCTGTTCCGGAGCTGTGAGCCGTTTCTGATGTTTGCAGGCTTGGCTGTAGCTGACTGAGTGGGTCCTCACCAATGGCGATCTTCGTGGGCGGATCACATATTCCATACTTTCCCCCCCAATCGGCCCATCTGCGAGAGAGAGTCTTGTACTGGTAAAAGTCAGACTCCCATTCCCTCTTGCTCCGGCTAGGGCTCGTGGACGGCGTCTCCGGGCGTGGACCTTCCGGTGTCTGCACTTTGCCTGCGATGGCCTTGGAACGAAGACTTGCCATGAGCAGGCCGGTTTCAGAGACTTGAAAGGCGCGCAATGCACGGGTACGCTTGTCCTGTCGACTGGTGGGCGTAAGCTTATGATCACGCTGCGCCGCAAAGACCACCATGGCCTTTATCATGATGATGTCGGTGGCTGGCACACGTCGCTACTCACTCGAGCCTCTGCTTTACTGCGGGTGGGGGGGGGGGGGTAGGAGACTGTTACATGCTCAATTCGGCCAGTGACACCCACGACAAGAAGACACAACAAGAGGCTAGCCTGGCAAGGCACGACCTTCACCCACGTCGTCCACCTGTCAGTCAACGTACTCATCTTGAAGGTGCATCTGCTGCAAGTTCGAAATTCGAACCCGAACTTCCATCAACCCTTGCCCACCTTGTTTTGAAGTGTCGGCATGCGCCACCGCCACAGCGTTTCCACAGGTGCCGGGCCTCAGCACGGACACCAAGACTGAGACTAGGTCCGTGTCGGTGCGGAGTGCGGGTGTGCATCCACATGAACTTGCATAGCCTGTCGGACTCTGTCTCAGTCTCAGACTATACATGGACATACAATACATTATATACTATACTATACTATACTAATTAATAATAATATACTATGCTACTGCATACTGCATACTGCATACTGCATACATACTTACTTACTACATGCCTACATGCATCATGCATCATTCATCATTATACATCATAGTCATAATCATCATAATACAGCTGACGGGACTGTCTCGGTAGACTCTGTTGTTGTTGTTGTTGTTGTTGTTGTTGTTGTTGTTGTTGTTGTTGTTGTTAGTGGTGGTGTTACTGTTGCTGTTGTTGCTGTTGTTGTTGTGGTTGTTGCTGGTGCTGCTCTTGTTGTTGTGGCTGTTGCTGCTTAGGCGACTTGTCCAGTGTTTGCAACAGACTGAACTTGCATGCTGAACCAAACGACCTCGTGGGGCCTCGGAATACATTAAACGCACATCCACTAGCTCTTGCCCGCGAAAGCAAACCACAGGATCTTCGACAACGCAAGGCCTCAGAGTCGTGAAATCATTAATCATGAACCTGGCCTGATATTGTTTTTGTTGTTGCTGTTGCTGTCGGCATCTGATTCACTCTTTTTCGCACACCTTGTTGTAGGATCAACATTTCCTGGGCTGACGGGCAGCTATTCTGCGAGGCAGCATTTCCTGGGCTGGCCAGCGATTCTGCAGGACTTTTTCAAAGTCCCATCTGTCTGTACATATTTAATTTAATTCGTCCATAAAACTAAACCACGAACTCCAGGACGTCCATCTCGGCCACTGGGCATCACGCTCTCGGCTGTCTCCTCAAAGCCCGGAGCACCCACTGATAGAGGTCGCCATTGACAAGCCCTGCAGCAGTGGTTTAGGGTTTAGGGTTTAGGGTTTAATTAACTGACTAGTCTATGTCTAACTTGACTGACAACAAAAATCCAGTGAGGCCGAGCAGCACGCCGCCAAGTGCATCACGTACAATGCCTCGAACAAGTTCTCGAGGAGACAGTCCGATCGGACATCGCGGTATTGTTGTCGACCCCATACGACGGCCTGCTTTCCGATTGACTGGCAACGACAATGCTACAATTACTACCTTATTTTCCCTGAGAAAACAAAGTAAACGAATGCAAACACTGCCAAGGCTCGCCCTCGAAACAAGGCCCGAGGGTAAGAGGGTTCCTGGCACGTTCCCCTATATCGGGCACCAACATAAGCAGCAACAAAGTGTTCACCCTGTTACCAGCTGCCGGCCATCCAAAATCTGAACCGTGGTAGAGGTCGTGCCACTCCGACCGCCTCGATTGTTGCTAACCGTTTCTGGGTTCAAGCTTCAAGAGGAGCGCAAGCAACATATTAATTATGGAAATCCTATGCCAGCCAAGGGACACTATCCTTGGCATGTCCAACAATGCGTTCACCCATGTCTGAAGAATATGCCTCAGCGGCGCCAGCTCGGTCAAGGCCAACCTGATACGAAAGGCCAAGTGGTTGAGCACCTCCAAGGCCAGCATACTGCTTACCAGATTCTTCCGCTATGTTATTGCCATGCCCAGCACACTTAAAGCCCTACTGTCAAATTTTGGCCTTCCCCCCAGCCTGCTCGCGTTGCGCGATTGGCATGCATCGCCAGCTGGATAACTCGCTTTGCGATGCATTTAAACCGGGCAGGGCAGGCATGTCATTCATGGAATCGAGATTCGGCACCATCGGCCATGAAACCATGGTGGCAAGGCAAAAAAACCGCAAGGACTCAGACTCGGGCACAAAATTGCTGACGGTTACTCAAACATGTGGAGGACGACCGACGACTACGACTAACTACTACGACGACGACGACCTACTACTACTACTACTACTACTACTACTACTACTACTACTACTACTACTACTACTACTACTACTACTACTACTACTAGTACTCTACTGCTACTCATGGTGCTACTACTACCTTATAGTAGACGCCAAAGACACAAAAAGACGTCAACACTGGATACAAGCTATCATGTTTTAGCCCATAATGTGAGTGCTTGTGCGAGTTATCGGATACGTGGATGACTAGAACTTAAAATTTCATCATATTATAATACAAGTTTATATATATATATATATATATTATATATATATATATATATATATATATATATATAGTTATACATAGATATATAACTATATCTTTGCATCTTATAATATAAGATGCAAAGATATAGTCATGTGTATCATGCAACATATATTATATAATACATTCACACTGCACTGCTATTTGTAGAGAAACTGCTGTATTGAACAGGTCTCCGGCCAGCAGATCATGTGATAGTCCATCATATAACGAATACTTTTCAGAGGACTTTAAAGGGCCAACCTAGTCTGTAGGCACTTCAGAGAGACCAAGTTCAAAATCAGCAATCCAAACAAAGTCGACCAACTACAGGGAAGAACTGAACTGCACGACGATATGGTACTAAGGGCCTGAAATGATATTAAACCCATAACAATAACTGACTGATTCAAAATTAACTGGCATTATATGCTTCATGTGGATCGACCCTAAGCAAACTGAGCTCTCCACGTCTCGGTCACCCACACTCCTCTCGTTGGACCAGGATCCACTCGAAGGCCTCAGGTGGCAGGTGGTTCCGGAGTGAACTTCAAGGCATCAAGAAGACCATGCACATACCACCCAACACATAATATCTGGTTGCCACCTGTATTTTTGCGTATAGAATGCAATCGAAGCACGGAACACAACAACTCGCGGGTAATGTCAACCTCATATTTAGAATCCCCCGCGTAATTGCAAAATCCAATTCCCAGAACGTAATTAGTAATTAGAAACCCCCCGTATTTGCAGAATGCCTGCTCAGCATATTCGCAAACACTGCAGAAACACTATGACACTGATGAGTGGCTCTCATGCTGGACCCGGACTCTTATTACGGAGGCTGAGGCTCCCATCCTTACGGGGGCAGTATGCAGTATGCAGTAGCATAGTATATTATTATTAATTCGAACCCGAACTTCCATCAACCCTTGCCCACCTTGTTTTGAAGTGTCGGCATGCGCCACCGCCACAGCGTTTCCACAGGTGCCGGGCCTCAGCACGGACACCAAGACTGAGACTAGGTCCGTGTCGGTGCGGAGTGCGGGTGTGCATCCACCTGAACTTGCATAGCCTGTCGGACTCTGTCTCAGTCTCAGACTATACATGGACATACAATACATTATATACTATACTATACTATACTAATTAATAATAATATACTATGCTACTGCATACTGCATACTGCATACATACTTACTTACTACATGCCTACATGCATCATGCATCATTCATCATTATACATCATAGTCATAATCATCATAATACAGCTGACGGGACTGTCTCGGTAGACTCTGGACTCTGGACTAGACTGCGCACGATGCGGAGCCCACTTGGGCGGTCGATGACGCAATGCACAACCGAACAGCTCAGCACACAACCAGCAGCCAGCAGCTGTGGCACGTTTGGCATCTCCATTCAGTCATTCGATTTAACCAGCCCATGACTCCATGACTCAATGACTATGACTCAATGCACAACCGAACGGCGCTCAGCACACAACAAGCAGCCAGCATCCGTGGCACATCAGCGTAGTATCCACTGGATCCACACGACCTGGGCAGCCAGACCCAATGCCCAGGACCAGCGATGGAGCAACTTCCGAATGCACTCCAGTTTCCAAATTCCAAACTCTATCTTAGGCAGGGCATACAAGTCGTTTTGTTAGGGCCAGGATCATGAGTCAGGAATAGTTGATAGTTGATAGTATTTGATAGTGGATAGATGATAGTCTGCTAGTTGGTTCTGGATCCAAAGGCTAGCTTTTTCAGAACATGAGACTGTAGGTACACACAGTACACTGTACACACATCTGTGGTCTATAGTCTAGAGTCTAGACACTAGACTCGTATGGACTGTAATGACTGTATGAATGCAGGCGCGGGCTTATGGAAGTGTTGCGAGTTTGGTATAGGCCGGGGCCGGGGGCCGGGGACCGGGACTTGTACACAAGGCGGAGGGCACCGAGGGAAGGGGACCACTGTGTGGTGATGAAGGGTTGCAATTGGGGTGTGTGTAGTCTGCAGAGTCCGCAAGACTGCAAGGTGTAGGCTTTATGACTTTAGGGTTAATGCGATAGGCTTGAGCGTGTGGAAGAAGTTCGAAGAAGTTGAGGTTAGTTGGAGTTTGTTGAGTTTGTTGTTGTTAGTTAGTTGAACGGTTAGTTGATGATTACAGCAACTACTATAATGCTACTCAAGGCTGGTCTACGGAAAGACCTTGGGTGACTTGCCAGGTGCGAGAGCGAATCTGTAGCTTGGAGTTGGAGTTAGGGTTTGGCTTAGGGTTTCATGTGGACTGGACAATCGGAGTCGAGAGACGGGACTCAGATGAGAGACAAAGCTGGCAGGCAAACAGCAGCCTAGGGGAAACCTCATTACTTAGATTTCACGGTGGGTCAAGGCTCTTAGGGACCTAAACCAGCCCCGGCTCGGTGTGTGGCAGCTGCACAGCGACCTAGGCCGGCAAAATCAACATTCCAAATCTCCGCCTGTGAAGGTGAGAACCC